CAGCGTCTCCCCGAACGCAGCCCTAGTATACTCTTTGTGGTATATTTTGTTCCAATTGAGTCGTGCACATCGCGACACTTTTGGCTCCTGCCCACTGGACGCGGTAACGTTGCCGCGCAGCGGAACTTGGCTAGGGAAACCAGCGCTGGCCAATCAACGTCTCGTGCGCTCGGATGCATAGACATCTATAGACGGAGCATTAGCTACAACTCTGGACAAGAGGGGTTCTGATATTCGGGGCGCGGGAGGCACTCATCTGACATCGACTCTTTCCGGTGAGATTCGGTAATATTCGGTTCACATTTTCAATACGTGTGCACACGTATATACGGCGCGTTGCTTGTGTGCGAGCGTGCGCGCGCGCGTGGCCGAACGGATCATCCCCACTCCAAGTTGGAGGGGACGTGTGCACACGTATTGGAAATGTGAACCGAATATTACCGAATCTCACCGGAAAGAGTCAAAGTCAGACGAGTGATCCCCTTACCGCGATTATCAGTTACCCCTCGTACAAAGGGTCCGTCTATAGAAGTCTATGCTCGGATGTGGATTGGCTAGTGCTGGTTTCCCTAGCCAAGTTCCGCCGCGCGGCAACGTTACCGCATCCAGTGGGCAGGAGCCATTTGTGTCTTCTTGTGTACGTTTGTGTTAAAAAGTGTAAAATAATTGGAAAGCACCCACAGTTGAGCGGCTTCCCCCACTCTGCCTCCCTGTCTGAGCCCGAGTGAGCCGTCGACCAAAGAGGATCATATAGAGTGGAAGCTGGCCGAGTACTGCGTTTTGCGCCATCTAGCAGTTCGGAGACACACTACTTACATTCTCTCTCTCACTCTCTCTCTCACTCTCTCTCTCACTCTGCAAGACAACCTAACCTCCGTTGCGTTTTGTCGTTGGCAGCAAGTTGGCACAAAATTATATTTTAATAAATAAAAAAATAATGACCCTGCGGTGCTACGTGAAACATTGTAAAAAAAACAATAAGGATAACAAAGATGTATCCTTTTTCCAACAGCCGAAAAATCCTGAACTGTAAGTATGAAATATATACTTGAATAAGTTGTGATTAAACATCGACACCACTTTTGATTTTAGGTTATAAATGAAAATAGATATTTCTGTTTTAAGTTTTAACATATGTTTTTGGAAATCAATTATTAGGATTGTTATCGATTTTGAACCAATAAATTATGATATCCCAGCAAACACAGAACATTGCAACAACGTTGCGGCAATGTTGTAACATTGCTGTAATGTTGCTACAATATTACAACATTGCCGTGATGTTGCTGCAATGTTCTGTGTTTGCTAGGATATATGACATATACTGGAATTTTAATGAAAAACTGATTTGCAGGCGAAAGAAATGGCAGGAATTTGCTAATGTGCAGGGAGATCCTCCAAATCATCTCCGTATTTGTTCGGATCATTTTGAGTCAAACTGCATCAGAAAAAAGTACCCAAGGCCACTGCTTGTTCATGGAGCGATACCTACCATTAAGACTCATCACAAGTCTTCATTCGCAACAGTCATCAAATGTCCCGAGGACAAAGTGGAGATTTATAGACCGGCCCTCGAAGGTAATTTAAGTAGAAAATATTCATTTTCTAGAAAGCTCCTACTTATTTTTCTCCACAATAAAACTGATATTTTATAGGAAATTGTTTTCATCCATCGAAGAGAGGCATAGTTGTGGATATACAAAAATCAACTGCAGAACAACCAGCAATAATTACCATTGAAACTAACGATAACATTAAGATTGTGCTATCAGGTAAAAAGAAATGTAATGATCAAAAGTGAAAAGAACGTTGAATTCTCAGCTGTCTTAATTCCAATAATTGTACATAGAATTTCGTCTATTGATTTCCACATTAATGAATTTTGTTAATATTTTACAAACATGTTCAATTTTAGAGCACAATCACAAATAACGTGTTATTTTTATATATTGTAAAGAAAAGTGCTTGTGATGCAATAAGATTATTTTTTTAATATCTTATTTCTATTATCCATCGTTATAAATTGATTATTTTTTCGCGATTTAGATGAGGAAGAAGATGAAAGACACGTGGCTGAAATAAATCCATCCTTTTCGCCCAGCACCATTCCCATGTCCATTGAACTAGTGCCAATTGCTTCATCGACGTTAATAGAGAAAAACACATCGACATTTTCCACTGAAAGTTTTGAAGTCTCTGAAGTCTTTACTCCAACACAGATTTTCAATGACACGTTAATACAGTTGCCAGAACAGGATTCAGATTTACGAACGCCAGCAATACATTTAGAATCAGCATCACCCTCAGCAAGTATAACTCTCACACCAAGAAAAATTTCAACCAACCATATACATTCAAACTCACACTCACCGTCAGTAAGAATTACTTTCACACCGACTAAAACGTCTTCGAGTCTAACACCTAAGCCCTCCAAATTATTTACGCCAAAAGCTTCCTTAGATTTGACCCCTAAGTCTTTACGACTTAATGCTCAAAAACGAACAATAAAAGCTTTACGTTCTAAAATTTATCGATTACAGCGTGATAAAAGAAAGACAATTCCACAAAAGTCAGTAGAAATTGAAAAAATAATTACGCAATCCGCCAGATATTTATCAAAAACAGCGCAAACATTATTCGCAACTCATTTACGTTTATCATGTGTTAAAAATCACGAAAAAGATATAGCGACGAGTTTAAAGATCTCGCATTGTCTATTCTGTACCATTCGCCAAAAGCTTATAGATTTCTAAAAAAAATTATTAATCTGCCATCAGAGAGAACTCTCAGAGAATATCACAAAAATGTCCAATTTACGTAGGAATTAATGAAACAGTTTTGTTGCAATTAAAAAATACCTTTTTTTTTTTTTTTTTTTACGTGTGGAAATCCTTTATGGATACCCGGGCCCCCCTCTGGGAAGGGAGTTTACAAATGGCCCGGGTTATGTGGGACTGCCCCCCTAATGACGATCGGGGTGCCGCCGCTAGTGTTGCGGCGGCTTGGCTTACCGCACTAAAACCACACGGTGACCTGCGCGGTGCTTTTACCATTAAAAAATACCTTCGCTAACGCACCGAAAAAAGATAAATTAGTATCACTTTTGTTTGATGAAATTAATCTAACTCCCGAAGTTCATTATGATCCACATTCTGATTATTTCAAAGGATTAGTAGATGATGGTGTAACACGTGATCCTGTAGAAGCAGTATCGGCTTTGGTAGTGATGATAACATGGATTAATAAAAAAATGAAGCAAACAATAGGATATTGGTTCTTAGGAAAAACGGGCAACACAATAAAGACACATAACATCGTTAAATACGCAATAGAGAAAGTCGGTAGTACTGGTCTAACAGTTAAGTCAGTTGTTTGCGATCAAGGTCCTAGAAATAAAAGTTTACCAAAAGCATTGGGGGTTACTATAGAAAAGCCATTCTTTTTCATAAAAGGAATACCGGACAAGACTTTTTTTTTTTTATTTGATCCTCCTCATTTAGTAAAATCTCTCAGAAATAATGTAGAACAGAAAAAATTGAGTTACCGAGACGGAACTGTTGATTGGAATGAAATTAAGAAGGTATATGAATTGAGTCAGGAAAGTCCTTTAAATTTAATACCGAAAATTTCAAACAGGCATTTTGAACTGGGCAACTTTTCAAAAATGAGCGTTTCTCTGGCTGCGCAAGTCTTTTCGGAATCCATGTATACAGCTCACCTAGTTTACAAACTTATTTTTCCTGAGAAATTTGAAAACAAAAATGACATGACTTTTGAATTCGTTCGCGATGTAGATAAATTATTCGACTCATTGAATTCAGTATTACTAAAGAAAACTCTACCTAATAAATTAAATTATGCTATCAGCAGTACTTCGGAGCATAAAAAATTTCTTAATGAAATGTTAAACAATTTAAAAATGATAAAGTTTGAGGGCCAGAAGCCAGACTGTATTAAAGGTTTTCTCATAACAATTAACTGTGTCCTTCAACTGGCCGATGATCTTCAGCTCAATTATGGTATTGAAAATCTCAAAACTCGTCGATTGTGTCAGGACCCGTTAGAAAACTTATTTGCTGTTATCAGACAGCAAGATGGTTGTAACGTATATCCTTCACCAACACAATTTGAAAATGGAATTCAGCAAGTTTATATTACTCAGTTAACGAAAATCTCTAATATTACTAATTGAGAGGCTGATGACTATCAGTTTGCTAAATTAAGTAATTTTTTAATTCAGTCAGAAACGGTATTGCCAGATGCAGAAACAGAATCATCAATTCTTATTGGAATTGATAATGATGAGGCAGAGTTAGAAATAAAAGAATCAGATATTGTAAATAATATAAAGGAGTCAAATACTGAAAAATCAGAAAAGGGAAATGAAAATAAAAAATTTGATTTTGGAGTAAAGTTTGCCGAATCAAATAAAGTCGATGAAGAAGTAGACAGTAAAATTTTTACTGAAAAATCAGCAATATATTACATAAACGGTTTTTTGGCGAACAAATTCTTGAAATTTCACAATTGTAAAACTTGTAAAAGTATTCTTGTGCAAGAGACTATAAATAATTATGAACACCACAAATTATTCACTATGGCGAAACAATATGAAAATACGAAGAACCTCAAACACGTAAATGATGACATTTTCAAAAATATCCAGGCATGGGAGAAAGAATTTCAATCGGTTATTAAAAGTAAGCTGCACGTGAAAAATATTTCCAAAGCTTTGATCATTTTGTTATCGAAAAAAAGCGTCAGTCCATTGCAATTATGTTCTCCAGAGGCAACAAAAAGCTTTATCAGTTTGTTTATAAGGATTCGTTGCCATTGGGAAGCACGATTTATTAGGCGAATTTTGCAAAAGGGTGGCACTTTAGTAGTAAAAAAGACTAAAGAGAGAGAACCAAAGAAAAAAACCAAATATCAACAAGAATCTAAACTAAAGCAAATAAATAGAAAAATGAAAAAGTTTACTCCACTCGTTAGAAACTAAAGCGTTTAAGAGTTATAATTCGTTATAGGAAGTTCAAATCCTATATTTCATTCTATTTTTATATTCTATAATTTTTATATTTTAGTTTTATTATATTTTAATTATATTACATACGATGATATATAAAGTTGATTTATTATGTTGTATTATGACGTATTGTTGAAATAAATAACAAGAGATATATATGTATATGGGTCATTCTCCGTCAACCGGTGAGGCCGCCTACCCAAAATTGGTTTCAACGAAAGTAAACGAGTATGGGCTTAAAATTCATAAAAAAATAAGTGCTATCGAATGCCGTGTGCTGATTTTTACTATCCAAAATGGCTGATCCAATATGGCGGCTAAAACGTAGGATAAAAAATGTAAAATTTTTTCATTACAAAAACAATACCTGTTGAGGGGGTATTTGGGTTCGCTGATGACGAATCCGTCACCAGATTTTCAAAATTCAAAATGGCGGATTCAAAATGGCGGATGGAAAACGTAAAATTCAAATTTACTTGAACAATCTCATTACTCAGGGGGTTATGGAGGTCGCTGAATACGAATCCGGTACCAGATTTTCAAAATTCAAAATGGCGGATTCAAGATGGCGGATGGAAAACGTAAAATTCAAATTTACTTGACGAGTCTCATTACTCGGGGGTTATGGAGGTCGCTGAATACAAATCCGG